GTTCAGGAGATTGACCTGTCATCCCCTTGGGCGAGTTCTAGCAGATGGGTTCCCTGGCATCTTTTTTCCAGCAGTTTTTCCTTACGCGGAAGATTTGTCACGTATATGACAGCTGGTTCGCTTGTGTCCTTACGGCTGATAAGATTACCGGTATGTTAGGAAAAAAGCTGATGATGGGTGAGATGAGAATGGCCTTTCTCCCCCCCGCCCCCCCAATTATATAAAAAGGAGGCATAAAAGAAATTTATTCTAATGAGGTGCTCCATGGAAGTTCTGGGAGTCCAAAATTATGCATTAAGCTATCCTTAAAATGGGTCACAATTTAACCGCAGCACCCTTGTTTCTTTTATTTAGGAGATTATTAGTCTGCTTTTTCACTGACTTAGCTTCAACCTAATTTCATTCTACAACTTCTTTATGTAGGGACCTTACTAAAACTTTATATTGATTGTCAGAGCATTTGGTGGTGTCCTTAATCATAGAAAGCACTCTGTCAAATACCAGAAGAACAAAGAAGCAAACCAGGTAGAATAATACGTAAGTATAGTCTTAGAAACGGGGAAGCAGGGTTGCATCCTTCCCGTGCTGAATTTTCAAGCCAGCAGCAAGCAGGGATGTATGTGCTTTCATCACTTGTGGTCTAGCAACAATGTGAGTTGTTATTAAAAAAAAAAAAAAAAGGGGGGGGGGGGGGGGGGAAGAAAAGATGGTGCGGGGGGGGGGGTGTGGGGGTGTTAGATAAGTGGATTTCAATAAATGGGCATGCTCTCAGCAGCAGTAATAGTGGTGTAGCGTTATTATAAAGCAGTATAATCAACTAAGATAATGTATTTTTAAAAATTCCTCCCTTTGTGTGTGGTTTGTTTTTTTTTTTTTCAAATCCTTGTTTTACTTCCTTTTGGAAAAAGAAAAAATAAGGCTTCTTCAAACTCAGCGTTTAAGTCTTCCCCTGCGGCAGGCTCAGTCCCCAAGAGATCCCAGGACCTGCAGAGCGCCCTGGGTTCTGCAGGTGTGAAGGAAACTCGTGTCTTTAGACCGGGATGCTCGTGAGGTCCAGGCAGAAGGTAGAGAGTTGTGGGTGCGGGTCTTGGCCTGGCGAAGGCGGTGGAGGGGTGCTGAGGTGGGATGTCCTCGAGTTAGCGGGGGTGCTGCCTGCTTCTGCCCCGCTTTCCGCCTCCCTCCGGTTTTGCAGCAGGCTGGGTACTGACCTTCGGGTGCCAGTTAGGAGCACAGAGGTGCCTTGCTGTAAATAGAAAATGCTGTGTAATACTTAAACGCTCGCTCTTACCTGTACGAGCATACTCGTACAGGTAGTAGTAGTACTACTACTAGTACAGTAGTACTACTACTAATAATAATTAAAAAACTGAACCTGTTAGCGTGCTGGATTCCAGTTCTGTTTATGCAGAAACCTCACCGAATGGGAGCTGCTTGCAGGCACAAGGAGGAGCCTCCACACTGTCAGCCACAACAGCGCTGATCTTGTGTAGTAAGAATTTTGTTTCTTTGCCTTTTTCTTTGTCTTGCACTACACAGCAGAACTCCCCGTGAAGACAGAGCAAACACATTAACGAGCTGCGGCAGGTGGACAAGAAATGAGATTTTTCTGTCTAATAATTTCTTGGCTGTTAATACAGGGGTGACTTAAGTATATTTACGGAAAAAACACGAGGGGTGGACAGCTTGGCCCTTCGCCCTTTGAGGTTCGGCTGTCTCGGCATCAGAGCGTGTATCTCTCAGCCCCGTGTCCTTGCGTAGAAGAGCAGGTCCCAGGCTGCCCGAGCAGGGCCGGGCACCAGGAGCTCTGTGGGAAAGTGCTTCCCAGGCACCGGCTAGCGCGTGGGCATGCCGCGCGCGGC